GTTTCGTGATTTAGGAAATTTCGACAAAAAAAAAAGGAAATTTCAATCAAGTTTTTCTTGCCAAACAAGCTTGGAATATTTTAAACGAACCTGAGTCACTTGTGTCCAAATTATATAAGGGGATGGAGGTCCTGTGCTTTAAGACAATTTATTTAGTGAGAGAAAAGTTATCGACCATCTTAGACTTGGAAAAGCATTTTACATGGTTGAGAACTTCTTAGTAGAGGCCTATTGGATTTAGTTGGTGATGGAACAAGAACAAAGGTTTGGTTTGGAAAATGGATCACAGATAAACACCAGAGAGCACCAATTCCAAAACAGTTTATGATTGATTTGAATCTCGATGGCTATATAATGGCAGCCAAATAAGGTTGATGATCTCTTCCTGTAGAGGCGAAGCGGATTTTAAATCTACCAGTTGGTGGTGTTAGTGATAGCCACATTTGAGCTTATACAAAACATGGTTCGTATACGATGAAGAGTGGATATTGCCATATTGGCGTTTACCAAAAAAAAAAAAAATAGTGGATATTGGTTGTAATTATCTAATCTACTAACTGCCGCTACGAGTAGGACTGCTCTTGATCAATTGCAGATTCAGTTAAAACATAGAATATGGAGGACTAGAACACTTCCAAAGATTTGATTGTTTCTCTAGAGAGTGATAGCAGTCTCGGATTGATTACAGACCAGAGGCATTGGACTTTATTTAAGCTGTAAGTTGTGTGGTCAGGGAGCAGAGACCATATCACAAACTCAGTTTCTATGTTAGAATATGCAAAAAAATATCTTCTCTGACCGATGGTTACTATGTTTCAGTGGAGCAGAACCATGACGTATATGCTTTATCTAATAGAGAATCAGGGACTTTAGAGCGAATACTAGAGCTAGCATCGCAATTCCAAGAACATGACGTATGTGCTTTGGAATATTTACAAGAACCGCAATTCTATGTTATATACCGGAAACAAGAGGTATTATCCATTTTGATATGAAGAACAGAGGAAGAAGCACGATTATTGTGGGAGCCAAGATTAGCACAATTAGATTTGTAAGGGTTTCGAGAGGAAGCAGAGATTTCTAAGTTAAGCTACGAGACAAAACGATGAGTAAAGAGAAACATTTGTTATTGCTGTGTATGTTTTTGTGAACAAAGTTGCGGATACCTTTACAAAGGTTTATGCATTGACATATATAGTGTTCCTAAGTCGGTTAGGTTTTCCATAAAGGATTATGTTAAGTTTCCTAAGTCTTCGCAGATTTCCTTTTCGTCCATGTCGGTTGCGCTGAAGTGGGCTTTGCAACTGGACTGGGCTTCAGCATTGAGACTCCAAGCTCCCGCGGTCCTTGCGACGTCGCTTCGTAGCTGCTACGCTTATCTTGTGGAGATGTCTGGGC